CCTCAAATATGACGATCTATCGTTAGCCGAGTTTGTGGCCGGTTACACACAAATACTGCAGTCTGTGGACATTACAGTCTAGAGCGCACCGAACGGCTCAAACATTTGGTGTCTATGATGTATTTCGCTGCTCAATACGAATGGTCCGCTGTGCTTAACTTCCATGGTGCCGTTTTGCTGGAAATTGAATGAGGTCTTCTCACTTGGGGGGATTCATTTCTCCACCTAGAAAGCCGGACACTTTATGGACATCCCTTGCGTGCGAAAACCGGGCCAAAATCGACAGCTCCGGTATTATTTTGTCGGGACTAACAACGCGAAAAATGCCCGCACTCGGGGGATCACTTTGGCACCATTCGTGGAGAAACTAAGTGGTTGCGCCACATCTCCGCGCAATGCTGGATACAGAATCGAAAGCAAGAACTACATCGCGAATCGTCATCCGCCTGTCCACTGGCCTCCTCCGCCGCCCAAGCAAAAAACTAACTTCTGGGAACCCCTCCGCAATTACTTGTATCACCGGGGGCGTTCCTGCCTTTTCCACTCATGACTTTATCGATTTTCAGGACAATAATTTTGTTTTACATGACGTTTGTTCTCCAGAACCGGACTTCGTTTTACAGGCCTTTAGTTCCCATGACCGTGACTCTGTTACACAGAATTTTTGTTTGCACGACCATGACATTTCACATGCCGTTCATACTACGGATACTATGCCGTGGAGTGTTACCGCCATTCTCGACCGTGCTTCATATCGACAATTTTTCGTTTATGCTCATCGCACGGTTCTTGCTAGTGGATTACCGAATTTTTCGGGTGTTCGTTTGCCAGTACCCTCAGGATTGAATATCGCAGTTTGGAAAAACCTGTTACTAGACTATCATGATAATGTTATTTGTGAATATTTGCAGTGGTATTTGGCCTGTGGGCTACGATAACAGGACAGTTCCGGTTTTTGATCAACGCAATCATCATGGCGCCATTGCATTTCCTGATGCGGTCACGTCGTATTTACACAACGAGATTTCACGTGGACGGATAGCGGATCCTTTCGACTCCGTACCTTTTTCAGAAGGATTTGTGGTTTCGCCTCTAAATACCGTTGCCAAGCAACGGAACGGCGAGTTATTGTTGACCTCAGCTGGCCATGTGGACATTCTGTTAATGATGATATCTCCAAAGATGTATACCTAGGTGATCTCCTCGACATTACTTATCCTACCGTGGACTCGATTGTCGAGGCGATCATTGGGTTCGGCCATGGGTGTTTATTGTTTAAGAGGGACTTGCGAAAGGCATACCGACAGTTCCCTATTGATCCTCATGACTATCGTCTTTTGGGTTACTTTTGGAGAGACATTTCTATTTTGACACTGTGCTTACAATGGGTTTGCGTTCGGTCGCCATGGCCTGTCAGCGATCGACGTCTGCCGTTTCATGGATATTTCAGCAACAAGGACGGATATTATTCAACTATTTAGACGATTTTATTGGAGTCGCGCCCTCGGGCGTTCCCATCGGCAGTTCCATGACTTGGCTTCACTCTTGCTTTCTCTTGGATTAGAAGAATCTCTCGACAAAGCCTGTTCCCTGTCAACACTGATGACGTCACTGGGTATTGAAATTGACACGGTTGCCTTTACCACATCTGTCCCACCATCTCGTTTATTAGAAATTGATTCCTTACTTCAGACGTGGTTAACAAAGAAATCCGCTACAAAAGCCGCCTTGCAATCCCTTGTCGGTACATTGGTGTTTGTTTCACGCTGCGTACGTCAAAGTCGTGTGTTTCTTTCTCGAATTCTGGATCTCTTATGTTCGGTCCGATTCCCGCATCATCATGCTCATCTCAATGCTGCCTTCAGAAAGGATATTCAATGATGGTGTCTACAATGGCCGGTCCTTAATCAACACTTCCCATTGGTCTCCCTGGCGAAATATTTTCGACGGACGCCTGTCTTACCGGTTGTGGAGACCTTTTTGCGAAGATCAGTATTTTCATGCACCTTTCCCCAATTTCATCATCGCACAGCGGCTTGACATTAACTGTTTGGAATTATTAACGATCGTTGTGGCTCTTAAGTTATGGGGACAGCGTTGGTCCAGTCTCCAACTGACTGTGCGTTGTGACAACAAAGTGTCCGTTACGGTTTTGAACTCTGGATGGTGTAAACAGTCTTTCCTCAATGCGTGTCTTTGAGAGATTTGGTTTCTTTCTGCGACCTTCGACTTCGAGATTCGGGCAGTTCATCTTCCCGGACAACACAACGAAGCCACCGATTTGTTGTCGCGTTGGAACTCCACTACTTAAGAACTCTGTCCTGTCCTCATTATTATTCTTATTATTTTCTAGTTACTCAAGCTCTTCATGCCTTGCGTCAAGAACAGTCTTCGCTCAGCTTATAGTAAAGGGACTTTTAGTAATCTTCGTACACAATTTTTGGCATTTTTATTACTTTGTACTTATTTTAATTTGAAGCCTTTCCCGGCTGAGTTAGATACTGTTTGYTTGTATGTGCAATTTTGAAGTCGAACACTATCTCCCCCTTCGATCAGAAATTACCTTAATGGGGTCAAGAGGAYGTGGGCAGAAAAGATTACAGAAGTCAACTTGGTTTCTAGTGGGGAGACTGAAACCTCTTTACATAATACCCAATCATTGTCTTCACAGTACTCCACAAAGGAAGGCTGGGCATTAAAGGTGACCAAAAGAGGAACGAGGATGGGAGAGAGAGTAAGGTCTTTTCTGATCAAGAAATTCAAGGAAGGAGCCTTTGGAGGAACAAAAGCTGATCCCAATCAGGTTGCTGAGGAAATGAAGGTCACTCGAGACGACAGAGTTATGTTAGTCTTCAACTCTGAAGAGTGGCGAAGCGCGAAACAAATCACCAGCTTTTTCTCTCGTTTGTCCGCTCTTCAACGTCGAGGTGAAGCTATCGATGGTAACTAAGGACAATCATGACCAAGACGACATGGCAGCAACAGAGAATGAAGACATGATCCAGTCACTAAGTGAGGCTGTTATTGACGACATGGTTCCAGTTATGAATCACCCAATCATACTAGATGGCATCAATCTTTGTGATTTGCTACAATCTAGTGGACTAGAAAAACTGAAACTACCGCAACGAAATATTTGCCGAAAAGGACAACTACAAACACCAGAACACCTAAACAGAAAGAAAACATTTATTGATCCGATTTACAATTTTGTGAAAAAATGCTCTTGTCAGCAAAGTGATGTGTAAAATCTAGAAAGCTCGGATTTATACTTTTTATCAGATTCGAAAGAAATTATCTTAATATCAATTACATTACATCAATTCATTGTACATGATTTGCATCAATTCCAATACTTTTTACAYCGCAAATTGTGCAAGATGCCGTTTTCGTTTTGACAATAGTGAAATATATKKGGATTTTAAAGGTGCAAAACTTGTGATGCTCCATAAACTAAAGGAAGTGTTTATAATTCTAAATTGAATTTGGAAGATGTCATATAAATGGCTTTTTGTACTAAAGTAGAACGTTCTTACATGTAACATGTAAATTCAAATGTGAGAATTCATTGCAAAGAGATGTACGTAAATCGCATGCTATGTTTTTTAGCCATATAAACAACACCATATTTAGTATAACTGTGATTTTACTTGCTTCTTAACATTGGTTTTATCTTTTCTGATGGGGTTTTATTTAAATATTATTCAAATAATATAGCACACATGTATTTCAAAGACAGTGAGCGATAGAGCGTGACCACTGAGATTTCCGGCTTTCTTGTAGCTCAACAAAAATTTTCCCCCATTTTATTCTTTTTGGATTCATGTAAAAATGACTTTAAAGAATCGATAAATGTTTTCAAATCAGAAATAAACAACCGCTGGAATAAAATATGGCCATTTTAAGTTGGGGTATTTTTTTGTTTTCAAAAATTTGCGCAAATGACATTTTTTCAAGGACGAATAAAAAACGACAATATTCATGAAACTTTTTCACCAGAGCATACACCGATAAATATTTAGATAGCACAAAAAGTTTCAATCCAAAAATTGTACGGGAAGTACGAAATTTAGACGCTCAAAAATGAGCTTAATTATAATAATTTTAGGCCTTGTCAGAGTCAAAAACGAGGGGAGGGGTGGTCATTCTAAGATGGAAAAGGTTTAGAATTCCTTAAAGCCCTACCATTCGTATTCATTTGGGATAGACTTTGCATGAATAGAATATCTTTGAAATAGCAGTAAATATATATCCTTGTTTAACGGCAGTTCGTCGGCGGGAATTCTTGTCAACTGCAATGATTCACAATCCAAAACTATAAAAACACTAGTTTGTAAGTCATCTTGAAGTGCAGCGCCTTTTAAACCACATAAGAGAGYAAATGATGAGTCAGTGAAAATTGATGTCCTCTCAAGGTATCCTTGATTTTTACTTTTCTTAAAAACAACAAGTAGTATCCTTGAAAAATAGCTCDCTTTGAAGCGCGAGGTCTTGCCATCCGTCCCATAGGATAAAACGTTAGTTATAATAGCTCTGAAAGGATTGTTGTTTGTGGAGGATGAGATCAGTTTATCGTTCAAAACATTGATTCCTGCTTTCATGCAATYAGCCAAATCGTTCGCGGGTCCCACTCGATCGTCATCCTTTAAGTCTGTGCCATTAGCTTTCGTAACTTTAACTTTGAAGTAAAGCCAAGAACCTCGCAAGTCGGTAAATTCATCACCACTCCCCGTGATGCAAAATYCTATTGGTCCCGAATMWCCAACGTTGGATACAGGAAAAATTTCAACAATCTTCCCTTGTTCAATGTTCATTTGCAAGTAATTTATTTGTGTTTAGTTTTGCCCTTCCTGAAATGGAAGGACACAATCTTTTGTCAAGTGTAGGTAAGGAGGAACATCCATGTATTTTCCCTTACACATATATATTTACATAATTTTTATCATGGAATTTAAGTAATTGTTAATTAAGTGATGTTATTGTACTTTTGTATCAAATAGGAAACCATACAGTTKCTCTTGTTATGGGAAATGAGGATTACAGCACACTAAGATGTTCCCTTGCCAATGTGATTGAAGAAGTTAACGACCTCATCAACAAAGGCAAAATCAAGGTTAAAGATGAGGAATTTAACCTTGAGTTTTTCCTAGGAGGTGATTACAAGGTACTGGATAGCATAAAATACCTGATTCCTATGTAGTTATAGAAAAGTATATTAAACAATAGTATAATGTTATCATCTCTATTTATAAAACAAAAATATTGAATTGCCTGATAACATTACTTTAAATAATAGTTCCTTCTGAATGCTATGKGTATGAAAGGGGCCACGTCGGACAAAAGCTGTATATGGTGTGAGATTCACAAGAATGACAGGTAAGCAGTGTGCAAGTTAGAGCTAATTGATGAAATTATTCAATGACTTCATGACTATAGAAAGAAATCTAAAAAATATGTTGAATGAGTAATCACATGCTAGTTAACAACTAATAACAAATTGAAATGATTGTTTTAGATGCAACATGAGCCACTCCTRTAGTGAACTGGCAAGAGAACTTGRACCAAATTGACATGAAAAACCTGGCTGCCAAGACCAACCACTTTTCAACATTCAACWAGACCACATCATAATTGATGAGCTCCATTTGCTACTAYGAGTCATGGACCGCCTTGAGGAAGGACTGATTAAAGATATTATTCAGTGGGATAAGGTAAGATTTTAATATTGCAAGAAATTGTAGCTTTTTTTCTCAATCTGTACCTAGTCCACATCATTGTGTGTCAAGTGAATGATTTTTTGAAAGTAATGACTAMATACATTGAAATCTGACTTGGTTACATTGAATATGTGGCCACTTAACAATTAAGTCTAGTTTAGTCTTCTATTATACTATACCAATTGATCAATTATAGATTATTATATCATATATCATCTATTACTAAAGGTTGACGGTAATACAAAAGGAAACAGCATTGGATTGAAACACCTAGTGGATTTCACACAAACTGTCCATTCTCTAGGTGTTTCCTTTGAGATTTGGATAAACAAGGCAAAGGTAATCATTATTTCTAGAATATTGATCTTTTTTATTTCATCCTGACTGACCTAAATAGATTCTAAAATCAATGGAATTTCTTATAGGAAATTGAGTGGACAGCCATGCTTGGCAGCGACAAGCAAAAACTGCTAAGAAAACTCCCTGACCATTTTCCTAAGCTGTTGCCGCAGGAAAAAGTTGAGAGAACACATAGCCTCTGGCTTGTAAGTAACAAATTCCTTCATTAGTCATCAAAAAGTAAATGAAAAATTAATTTGCTTTAAAATCCCTTTACAACAGAACTTCTGTCACCTAATGGAAAAGCTCAATAGCCTTAATACTCAAGAAAGTGTGGAAACCTTTCAGAAAAAGGTATTAATGCAGTTTGTTTTCACTGACTTATTGAAAATGACAGTTAATGACAACTTTGCAACAGCGGACTACGTCATGTCGAACTACAAGGCTTTCAGTGCATTCGATGTCTTTCAATTTAAGGCCACTCTCGATGACTAGTAGGCCTTCTCTTAACTCTTCCACTCGGACAGGTTCAACATCGCGCTACTCAAAGTCAGTTATCAGATCTTTAGGCAAATGAGTATATGGCTCCCACGTATTTTCTGTTGAGCAGTAGTTCTTCCATTTGACGAAGTTTTCTTTCTCCGCTGAAGCGCTTGGCAACAACACTTGGCTTGTCAATTTTTGACTTTTTTGTGTAACTAAGGCCGAAATCATTATCCAAAATGGTTTTGTAAAAACCCGCACAAGGTCGTGATYGCTTTGACATGTTTATGTTTATGAATGGAAAACAAAATTATCCTTGGTTTTTGTACCCACGCGCAAGACACACCGGATCACACGGTCRAACAAGCACAACCAATCCGAAACCGCTTATGAAATAATTAGMACTTTAAAGACAAGAGTTTCCTTTTGAGTTCGCATCATCCACTTAACTGTAGAACAAAAGGATTGAGCAATCGAACACAGAAAACCAATCCGAAAGTGCCAATCGAACAATCATTATTATTCATAAGACATGACTTAAGAGGTCAATTACAAGTCCTGTTAGACTATTTCAAGATGCCAAAAGTCAAGCAAACTCTGTTCCCTTGCCTGATGTGCTTCAGGATKCTCACTCAGAATCAATTGAGAAAACACGTCGAAGGATTTCACCAACAATACCACAAGAAAGGCCATCGTCATCTTTGCCCTTACTGTGATCGTCCTTATGTTCATCTGCACGAGATGTATGTTCATATATACAGTAAACACAGGCCAGSGCGGTGYCAGTAGAAACCGTAGAGCTCTATATATAGCTCTATATATTCAAACGGCTCTTTTAGGAGCCAACAACTAAATAAAAATCATGACCAAAGCTTGACACAAATATAAACCTTTACAAATAGCGAGAATTTTAAATGTCCCGCCAACAAAAGCGTTTGTTATTGAGTCCTCAAGTGGTGACGTCACGTTTCCTAGCAACGACAATTTTCGGCTCTAAACAAACGCCTCGTGGTTTAAAGATGGCGTCTTTAACAATCAATGCTCTGTTTAATTTCTTCCGAGAGGAGAAAAAATCTATACAAAGAGGAGAAAATCATTACAAATCGGGTCATGTTGGAGACATTTTTCTATCAGGAAGGAATTATCCGTGGTGAGGTTCACGCTAGTTGGAAAAATAAAGTCTATAAAGCTGSGGTAAGTTATGGTCAGTTCGGGATTGCTACTTGTGTTCTCTATGGCATATTCTGAAGCTGTATTGCTTGTTATAAGAAAGATTGTGAATTCCTTATCACTATTCTGATCCTACAGATATACCTAGATGCAAATTATGAAATCAAGTCAAGTGAATGTGAGTGTCCTCGCGGAGAATATAAGTRMAGTCATGCCGCTACCCTATACATACATGGCATCCATAATCTCAGTAGAACAGACGTTCAATGTCAATGGAAAAAGAGAAAAACAGCCGAGAATATTAAGTCTGCTGCTGAGATGTATCCAAAGCCGAAAAAGTTTGTTCCTTTGACACGAGAAACAACCGATGCGGACCGTAATCTTCTCTACAATGACCTTAAGAATTATGGACGCTTTACTGGCTTATTCTGGATGAGAACAGAGGCAGAACCGCCTTCTCTTCCAATTAAAACGATCGAGAGTATTATATTCTCGAAAGAATTTCTAAGTATTCTAGGGAATGACGGTCAATTGGAGTACCTCATTGACAATGTAAACGTTAACAAAGACCAAATTGTCGTTGTTAGCAATCTGACGTCTGGTCAAAGAGAAAATCCATCATGGCACATGTTGAGGAAGGGTAGGTTAACAGCCAGCAACTTTGGCTGTGATCTAAACGCAAAGCGGGTTACCCCTTCAATACTAAAACGTCTTCGAGGAGAATATGACATTTCAAGAGTTAAGGCTGTTACCTGGGGTGTAAATAATGAAGCAGAGGCACTCAAAAAATTTGAAAGAGACACTGGTCTTCAGGTGCAGCAAACAGGGCTGTGGCTGGACGAATCTGGAGTGTTAGGAGCATCCCCCGATAGGCAGAAATTGTGTCTTAGAGATTAAATGCCCTTACACATTAAGGAACTTTATGATTGCAGAAGGCCTTAACTCAGAATCGTTTTTCTTGACCAAGCAAGATGATGGGAATTTAACACTAAATAGAAACCACATTTATTGGCATCAAGTTCAAGGGCAACTCTTTCTAACAGACAGGATGTTCTGTTAYTTTATTGTTTGGACAACTATAGACTTTGTTCAATTAAGAGAGAAGAAAGCTGGAGAAACAATATTGAGCTATTGAAAGACTTATTTTTATAAGCTTTTCCCTAAAATTATTGAAGGTGATCTTTGAGTTWTAAGGTTGCAGTTAAAATCCAGTGTCAATCTAAAAAGTGTTCCCTTTCATTTTGATCTCAAGATGTCCAAAATTCTTCTTACTGTAGGTTTAATAGCAATAAAAAATGAAAAGCCAAGCAGATAAAGACTAGAAAATGTTACTTTACTCTGCCATAAGATGAATGAACCATTGACACCTGTTTATCAGTGGACTGCAAGTTTAGACTGTTTAGTTTTAGATGTTTTTCAAGATATTACTGAGTCATTGCTATGTAAATCGCCTGCTACTGATGTGTCTGATCTATGCCATCAATATGACTATGTTCTTTCTACACTTCTTGATAAACATGCTCCTGCTCGAACAAAACTTGCTTCTTTTCGAAGAAGTGCACCATGGTATAATGATCAWATCCGYGAAGGARAATTAAARAGAYGTCAACTTGAAAGACGCTGGCGTAAAACAAAATTAACAGTTGACCGTGATCTTTATGTCAATCWATGTAATTTAGTTAAAAATCTGATTTTCACCACAAAAATGACCTACTACTCCAAAATAATTGATGAATCTGGTTCTGACAATAAAGTTCTGTTCTCTACTGTTGATAAACTTCTTCATTGCTCTGCAGAATGCAAACTACCATCTTCTCCGTCACCCTCTGAACTTGCAAATACATTTGTAAACTTCTTCAACGACAAGATTGTGAAAATTAGAAATGATTTATCTTCTCGTGTGATGTCCTGTGACTGATGTTTTTACTAATTTTGATGAGCCATCAATTATCTGTACATTTTCCTCGTTTAACCTGTTACTACTAAAGATTTATCTGCCATATGTAAAAACCTTTTTCCAAAGTCCTGCAGCCTCGATCCCGTTCCTGCTTTTTTATTGCGTCAGAATCTTGGTTTGTTGTTGCCTGTCATTTGTAACATTGTAAATAAGTCGTTGTCATCTAGTTCTGTTCCACCGTGCTTGAAAACTGCTGTTCTACGAAGCCTGTTAAAGAAGCCATCCTTAAATAAAGAAATTCTAGCAAATTACCGTCCAATTTCAAATTTAAAAATGGTCTCCAAGGTAATAGAGAAGGTTGTTGCAGTTCAACTAAACAACTACCTCTCAGCCAACTCACTTCATGAACCTTTTCAATCTGGATATAAGCGACATCATAGCTGTGAAACTGCCCTTCTACGTGTTTGTAATGATATTCTTCTCTTCCTTGATAATCGAAATTGCGTCGCCATGTTGCTGCTTGATTTGTCTGCTGCTTTTGACACTGTCGATCATACTATACTTCTCCAGCGTCTTCGCACTAAATTTGGTATTTGTGGCTCTGTTCTAAACTGGTTCAAATCGTATCTATCTGATCGTACTCAATTTGTCTCTGTTGATGGTGTCAAGTCCCATTCTCTC